TCCCTACTCAGTGCATAAATACCCCCCTGCCTTTCACTCTCTGTTCTCCCCTGACGTGCATCACCTTTATCCTCCTCCCTCCTCAGGTCACACGGGACCACCTTCCCAATCACGCACATAACTCAACACCAGCCCCAGCAGATAAATAACACCAATAAGTGCCAGAACTAAACAACGCAAAACAGCAAAAGCCACTAGCATTTCATTCTCCGCAAAACCAAGCGTGGTAACTATACCACTTACCAGTCTAGAAACAGATGGCCAACCAAACCAATTTATGGACAATGTGTTTTTTCAACTTTTTCCATTTAACAAAGCGGGCCCGCGGTTCCCAAGCCTGACTGTCAATATGAAGTACAAATGAGGATACATGGTCACATTGCCTGGCTTCGCCATTATGATATGAAACCAGAGAACAGCAGATCGAACGAAAAGAAAACGAAAAATCCCTTAACTTAGCCTTGTGGGATCAGAGCCGAGCCTCACTGAGCGTACTCCAGTATATTTTACCTTGTTTACCAATATGGACAGAAGCCACCGCTCTTGCTCTGGTTTCTCTTTAAGTAACTCGAACACCGCCTGTCATAACACACACACACACACACACACACACACACAAACCACATACTTGCGCACACACGCACACACACGCACACACACGCACACACACAGCCGGTGACAGTCCGGCGAAATAGCCTGGCAGCATCATGGCTTTCGCTTGGAGTTGTGTATATATAGCAACCATGACAACACACACACGAACACATAAAGACATGGATCAGCACACTCTGTATAAGTCTCGTAAATTCATAATCAGATTTCTTTTGCCTTTTTTTCACACCCTTCTTGGCTCTCGCATTCCCGCAACCGCAAAGTCTAGATGAAAACTTCAGCATCCCTGCAATCCAGCAGAGCTGCCATGTACACAAAGGAAAAACTTTGGAGCCAAAAGTCTGCTTTTCATAAAGAGATTGTCTTCGGCTTTCAGGTACAAGAACGAATTGCTTTCCAACACACCGCAAGTCGTTGTGCATCATACTGACATGAACTGAGCAAGGAAGAACTGAAATCTCTGTTGTGTGATATGGCCTATCGCAAGGCCATATCACACAACAGAGATTCAGCCACAAACTTTCACTCAGTGCAGACCACATGACCACACCAATCAATGAAACAACTGAAGGAGCACTTCAACATTCCTTCAGCAGGAAAGGAATTCATTCCACATCCTGCTGGTCCTCTTCCTGCCAACTTTGTCCTCACCTATTGTAGCCAAAAAGCCTAGGCTCCACTTGTGTGCTATGCGTGTGCTAAGTTGGTATTATGAATCTATCCAGTTTTGTGACCAAAATCATGATTCTTTTACTAGGTACACACAGAGTCAGGGATCAGCAGTCTTAGTTTTTTTTTTTTTTTTTTTTTTTTTTTAAGAAAAAACAGAACCTTATGGTCCCGGCTCCTTATCCATTCTGGGGAGCATCAGTCCGGTTCCTATTCCACCAGCAAGTCAATGAGAATACATAAGGGACTCACACACGCTCTTCCCCTTTATGGTAGGAAAGACCAAGGGACGGCATTGATTACTTCCAGCCAGAAGGATGTACCTCCCCTTACCCCTGCCTAAGTTATCCTGGACTACTCTGCTATTTTATCGAAATTGATTGTTGCGATCCTTCCTGAGGTCCTGGGGTCTCTTCTACGGGGGGGAGATTTGTGTCTCAATTGAGGGCAGGGCTCATGCGAGTTGGGCTGGGCTGCTACGGATTCTAAGGGATGATCTGGGGCGAAAGTTCTGGATCTCGGGAAGACTGGTGTCTGGATGTAGGGGGTGTGCTGATTGTTCTGGCTCCTCGTGTGTCAGGAGGGGCACTACTGTGGTTGGGGTGTGTGGGTGGAGGGGAAGTTTGGGGAGGAGGGGGTAGAGGATGATGTGAGGGGTGGGCTTTGTAGGGTGGATACAGATGTTATTGGGGAGATTGTTATGGGTGGGTGTGTTAAGGGTGGGTGGTAAGTGTTTGGTTAGGGATGGTTGGATATGGGGTTTGTATTTATGATGGAAGAGCGGGGTTATTGTTATATCTTCCTTTTTGAGTTTGATATCTGCTTTAACCCACCTGCCTGCTGTAAACTTCCCATGTTCCCAATTTTTTTCACCTCCATAATTTCTCCCATTCAACAATACCTTACCATCTCTTCCCCCCCTCAATGCCCACCATCTCTGCCCCCTTGTCTGAAGCCATCCCCTCTCTTACCTATTCCCTTCCTCAACCCTCCCCACCCTTATACTGCTACTGTCCTCCACCAAACAGAACCTACAGTCATCATGAACGTATACAAGCTTGTTTTCCAGTCCGATACAGTCACGAATGAGGGCGCATTCAGTTCAGGGGAAGATAGTCGGACGGACACATATCATAACTTCTTTTTTGGGGGGTTTCTTTTCCACACTACAGCAGACATGGATCAGAGATTGGCATTCCGAGGAAGATTCCTAGGTATCCATTTCTTTCACCTCCACGATCAGTTCGCATTCAACCATAGCCCCACCATCTCTCTCCACTTGTTTTAGCTGAACCCCTCCCACGTATGCCCTCCTCTAAACCTCTGTGCACCCGTACCACCACTGTTATACCGCTAGGATGGAAAACTCACACAAGGCTTTTTTTTTTACTTTTTCTTTTGTTTATCTTTTTTCTTTTCTCACCCCTCCAACAAGGGTGTAAGCATCATCCAAGCACAGTCTCGGAACACTTCCATTCTTTCCGTCCATTCCGGCGGAATCTGTCGTCATTCAACAATTGCTCCATCATTTCTCCACCCTCGTTCGAAGGAAGATTTCCCCTTGTAAACTTGTCCAACGCCATCGCCATCATTATGCTGTTAGAATGGGTGTCTGACATGGCTTCCCTCCTCCCCCCACCACTTTTAACCCCCCTCACACTTTACCTCCCCTCCCCCGCTGCTCTTTGCCCGATCTCCCCCTGTAAACTTGTCCAATGCCATCCCCATCATTATGCTGTTAGAATGGGAGTCTGACATGGCTTCCCCTCCYCCCCCCSCCCCYTTTWCCCCCCCCYCMCMCTTTHCCYCCCCYCCCCCCCCYCTCYGCCCCCTCCCCTCGCCCCYCCATTACCACCCCTCACAGACCAGTACTGGAAAAACAACCAGTATAAAGTACTATAAACCCTAAAGGGCCTAAACCCAAATGAGAACAGATTCAACAGAACAATCGGGCGATAGCTCAATCCTTTTTTATTTGTTGTTAACAACTGTAACAATCAAAGGAGACACAGAATAAAAAATAATAACAATAATAGTAAATATAATAGTAAATAAATCAACCACAAATCAAAGAAGATGAAAAAGGAAAACACAAACAACGTCGTCAAACTGACCTTAATGCATTTCTCCTTGAAAAATAAAAGTGTGTCCTTGGTGCCTGCCTCAACTACTCCAACAAATCTCTCAAACCTGATGCCAGGACAATCACACCCCAAGCACGCACAGAACAGCAATAATAGCAAATAGCAAATAGCAAATTCTGAAGCAATGAGAATCATATCACTTTCTCAACAATGAGACAAAATGGGATTCTCTTTCGTCTGCATGACAGTATTACGTAGAAAGGGGGCCAAACTACCTCCTCTCTCCACGGGGAGGGATGCAGAGACCTCTCCCCCCAGCCCCCCCCCAGGTGTAAAGCTCGAAAGCACCACGCCTAAAATCTACAGTAGTACATCAATCACTCCCTGCCAATCCCTTCTAAGCACGTAAGTACCAGGCCAGTAGTACATATCTATTTGTGGGGGGTTGCTGGCTTATGATGGGGTATGGACCTGCAGTCTGAAGAGTCTTCCATCTGGTGTGGGTGAGTGATAGTCGGCTTTGACTTTCGTCACGGGTACCCTTGAGGACATTGGTCGGTGGTCCCCACCTTAGGGTTTAAGTTGTTGGGTAGTCATTGATGCTTAAAAAGTTAAAAGTTAAAACCACCCCTCCATCCGGAATTATGTTGACAAGCCGAAAGTTGCATTTCCCCGAGTGAAAAATCTACAGTGCCATGTCCTCCGGGACATCCGTTAAAATTGGAACGATACAGAGAAGGGTAAATTAGCATGGTCCCTGCACAAGGATGACATGCATAAATCGAGAAATGGTCCAATTTTTTAAAAATGTAAATTATGTAATTGAAAAAACAAAAAATCTACAGTGCTGCCGTAAGGAAAACTAATTGTGGTACCCTTCCCCACCGAACCTCTACTGGGCCCTCTACTGGGCCCGGGCCCAGTAGAGGTTCCGTGGGAAATGGTACAACAATTCGTTTTCCTTATGGTGCCACTGTGGATTTTGGCCCACTACTTGATGACAAGAAAAATTAACAGTGCAGACAAATTGATACCCACACCTTCAATGGACGGCTGGCTGCTGCAAACAATGGACATGCAGAACTCACGGCTGAACGAATGGCCAGTTCGAGAAAGTAATAGATTCCGAAGCGTGGCACTTTGATTTTGCAGAGCAGGATATGAACCCCTTCCTTTCCTCCGGCACGGCTATTTAATATTTATCACCCCCAGACCAAGTCCCTTTTTGCCAGCTTTAGAAGCTATCGCCGGATTGAACCCTCTTTCGGAGGCCGCAACCTCGAAAGCCTTGCAACGGCTATTGCCATCGGACTCCGTCCTACTCCACTTAAGCCACCGGTACTCAGCGCAGCTATCAGACACACGAAAAAATAGAGTAGAAACCTTTCTAGTCGGACGGATTTGGGCGCTTCTGTTGTGGCCCGTACGTTTCCCAAAGCCGCGGTTTGTTTACGTGCACGACTTTAGGAAGTACTGGTGGTTTAAGAGAAAAGCACGCACTGTTGCTTGTGGTACACATGATCACAGTAGTAAGACTTCTAGCGCTCAACCTGGTCGTATTTGTGGTCAGATACAGCCTGAAAAATGATATTGGGAGAATGCACTTAGACACAGTCAACTTCCACAGCTTTCACACGAGTGACTCGTATTGCTCTTAGCCAACTGACACCACAGAACAGTCATTAAATCTCCATGCGACTCTGGTCGCTTTCAGACTCTGTTTCAACACAAGCTTTGCTTTTCATCTGATACCTCCCAAACTTACTCTCAGGGGGGGGAGGGAGGGTAGGGGGGGCAGGAGGGGGAGGGGGGGGAAACAAAATCAAACCCATGACTCCTCCCCTTACTTCCAGATTGTTCACTTCCCCTCTCGGTCTATTCTCTGGAGCTACATTGCAAAAAGCCAACTGCAATCCAGGTAACTCTGGACCCCTTGAGACTGATGCCAACTCACCTTTGTTTCAGCCGATCCTCCCAGAACCAAAGTAATAACAACTTCCACCCCTCTTTGCCAGGTGGCAGCACATCAAGCCGCTGCTGATGCAGAAACTTCAGCTTTCTGTCAGGGAGAAGACTGCACAGACAGATAGAGAGAGAGAGAAAGACAAACAAACAAAAAAAAACACCATCACCACCACCCAAAAACATCATTTGGATTATGCATGCTCTTCTCTAGCCCACGGTTTTTTTCCCCCCAAATCCTGGCAGATCGTGACACGAGAGAGAAACAGTGAGAGAGAAAGAGAGAGAGACGGTTGCACCCTCCCAAAAAGCCACCCTTCCATGCTTCAGCTTAGATATATGCACCCCCGACGCATCTCTGCACCCCCTCCTGAAATCGATCAGTAAAAAAAAAGAGAGTACTTGCACTAACCACAGCATCAGATGGACCAAAACACCTAACGAAGGGACGGCACATTTCCCAGAATCATACCCATCAACACAACAAAGATTGCACCAGTCGCACCATTGACTCACAAGACTTGAGGGTTGTGGCCGCAGATTTTGCTTTAACAGCGTGCAAGTCATACCTCATATCACGAGGTCCCAATTCCACTGGGACAAATTCAAGTGGTATCAAGTCAAGAGAGGTCCTGCCTCTTGAGGCCGCCCATCAAATGCACACGGCAACGCCCTTGAGCTGCCAGGCAGCAAGTCCTACCCGCCTCTTGAGCCCGCCCATCGAACACGCACAACAACACCCTTGAGCTGCCACACAGCAAGTCTCAGGAGCTTCCTCATCCAATGTTACAGTATAGAAGGGGGGCACAAGTACCAGCGGTAAATGACTGTTTAACAGAGTCAAACGGTGAAATTGCAGATCAGGGGCCAGAAAACAGGCTTGGGAGCAGTGCCGGTATGACGCCTGGTGTTAGGAATATGAGCGAGAGCGATAGACAGAAACCCAAGTTGCACAATCACGAAGCAGTCCAGATAGTCATGTACCAAGCAGAGAGCACAATGCACCAATATATCATCCAAATAAGACCAATACAACGAACTCAAGCGCCAATGACGACGCTCTCTGGAATGCAGTGCCCATGCAGACACTAGCGCAGCAACGCAGCAGCGTGTCCACTTTGCCTGCCAAGGGCAGAATGCAAAGTGTGTCTGCTGCTGGCTGGTCTAGCCAGGCGTGTGGGGGCCCAGTAGCTGGCCTCTGAACCCAAGTGTCTGCACCCAGCCCCATTTTCCGAAACTGGACCGGGCCTTGTGCAGTTAGGCACGTCCAGGCAGACACCCAGCCTCCGAGTGTTTGCAGCCTTCTCATTGGCTCGCGGCACATGTGTGACGACAATGCTGCTTGCTCATTGCCCCGTAACCAGTCCGTGATGTGTTGGCCTCACACAGCATGTGTCCAGGGCGCAACCGCCTGAGCCCTGGGCTCAACTGTACAGAGCAGCCCTTTGCTTCTGGGCAGAGCCCGGAGGCTCACGTTGCTCTGTAACCAACTGGCGTGCTGCAACTGTCGGAGTACCCACATATGGAAAATTGTCGAGAACAGGCCTCACGTGGATATTCAGGCCCACCTCGCACTGGGTTCTGAGGGGAGCCAAAGCCAAATTCCCCAGAGCATGACACACTGCAGTCCGTCGACGCTTACACAGGGAAGCCGATTATTAATTAAACACATTGGATTGGACACGGACAGACAGACAAGCGAACGGAAGTAAGTTACTGCCTCTTCAAAAGAGAGATATCCTCAGACTGGTAAAGAAAAGACATGGGTTGGATCTCAACAGGAAGGCGCATTCAGGTCATGACAGGCACTACCGACTTCACCAGAATAGTGTGCCCAGTCATTGCAGCTGCATTTGGTGCAACTTTCAGTGCAGATGCGGCCATAATGACTGGCCGTTCTATTCAGGTAAAAGATGGTAGGCAAAGCACCACAGGGTCTGAGAGAGCGACTACACCTACACACATAGGAAGAGAGATTACCCAAACCATTCTTGCAGTTTTTTGGCAGGGCTGGACACATGAGGTTATCATCATCATCATCATCATCATCATCTTCATCACCCCATCCCACACAGAGGAAGAAAGCACTAGGAAAACAGGGAAAGACAGAAGAGGGATCGCTTTTGCACCATATCATCTCCCTTCTTCATTAGGAAACTCGGAGCCGCCAGTCGAACCACCTGCCTACCTTCTCAAGAACAACTCCCGAAGTGAATCCGTTGCCATAGCCGCAAACTTCTTTCCTCCCTTAGATTCCATCATGTCTGCATATTCAAAAAAAAAAAAAAAAAAAAAAAAAAAAAGCAAGAAAAGAGTTATCCCTATTCTGCCTCCACTCGCAGGCCACATTGAATCACAGTCACGTCCATCAGACAAGGTGGTATTTAAATCAGGAGGCAATCTGTGCCAGTAGGTGTAGACACCCACCATTTCTATCTGCCTGCACACACTTTCGATGTTGCCCAGGTTAAGACCTCTTGACGACTTGTTGGTAAAATCGATGGGATTAATTGGGTGGCTGTCGAGATTCTGACTTTGCTTACAAGTCTATAAAACAATTTCTATTCAGTTAAGATTCTTAAGAAGATTCGAACTCTTGACCTCTCCATCCATCAACAATGGACCACCACCATTCAGTCCACACCAGCGCGCGCAAAAAAAAAAAAAAATGTTTGGAAACTCTGACATAGCGCAAAGGGTTTAGGGGTTTAGGGTTTAACAATTCGTTCATTGGAGGCATCGGTCGGCTGTTCCTTGACCAATCGTAGCCTGTTCATAGCCTCGTCGTAGTCTATTCGTAGTCGTAGACTATTACATAGAGTTTTTTTTTTTCAGACTGCGTCCACTATTTGTAGACTGCTCCACTCCATCCAGCATTCTTAGACTGTTCCACTTGGGCGACTATTTGTTGACTTCGCGGCAAATCTGTTCGCCGACTCTTCGGACTGCTCATAAAAGACGTAGACTGCTCGACTTCATCGAGTATTCTTATTAGACTGTTCCACTTGGTCGACCATTTGTTGACTCATCGTAAATCTGTTCGCCATGTCTTCAGACAGTTCATGGAAGACTGCAATGTTCCTTTGGACTATTTTTGTAGTCTATTGTAGACTGGACTATTTTTGTAGTCTATTGTAGACTGGACTATTTTTGTGGTCTATTGTAAACTTTTCTATCTCTTCATTCGCAAGCAAGGTGGGCGCACATGTTTTCCCACTCCGGTGCCCGTAACAGACAGAGACTGAGAGAGAGATTTTTTTATATATCATCCTGAGCCCACGAATCATTGGCCAAATTACGATTACGAAGAAGATGTGATGGACGTGATAATCCATTTTAGGACGATGATCACAAAAATACTCCAATTTACTTTTTATTTCGAATTGAAAACGTGTTTTCATTGCTGATGAGAACACCTTTTTCACCTACACCAATGTACTGCTCTCCACAGATCAATCCGGGACAAATTCTCATCAGATTGCAGACCAATCTGGGACAAAGGATCCTTCATTTCCGCCATGTGTGGACAGATTGCAGACCCCGGCCGCCAGATTGCAGACGGGTCATCATATATATTGCAACCACCATCCTCATTCCTGCCGTTCGTCTGAACAGATCTGTGACGATGAAGCTGACACGTGTCCAAAAAAAATTCTCCAAATGCTACACGCGTGGCTGGATGGCTATAGCCCTTTTTATGAAATTTTATTCCAAACCTAAACAGCGGATCCAATTATTTAACCAAAAAAAAAAAAAAAAACAATAACCAGCTCTGCAAGAAGCCTGTGACCGCTGCAATTGGATCGTTGAGGGCATATTCACAATAGGACTATTTTTTTAACCAAGCCCTGGACGTGGTTGCGGTCAGATTCATCCAGGTCTGCCTGTAATTGCTGTCACATTCATTTACGGAAAGTGCTCGTGTGAGTACGCCCTGAGACAATTCACCATCTCTGGGTGGCAATGCACCATCTCTGGGTGACAATGTGCCATCTCTGGGTTACAATGCACCATCTCTGGGTGGCAAGTCCGAGATCGACGGGGAAGTGGTGGAAGTGGCGGGAAGCAACATTGCACTGCGTGTACATCAATTTTGTCTTTTTTCTTTTTCTTTTCTTTTTTAATTCAGAACGTTTCTCAATTTACGTGTGTCATCCTTGAAAGCGCAGGGAGGGGCCATGCTAATCTTCATTCTCTGTATCGTTAAAATTTTAACGGATGTCCCAAAGGACCAATGTTGTATTTTGTGCGTGAAATTTGGCTTAGTGACCAATTTTCCACTCGTCAAAAATCTCAAAACTGACCATGTCTGTGGGTAGAATAGGCTAGAAAACCTTCTTAACCGGGATAGAACGCCCGGTTTAGTGCAATTTTCCGTACAGATACAGCTATAATGACCAGGCGTTCTATTCAGTTGAAGATGGTAGGGGTGGTGGATAGTTGCTCAGAATTCATGTAGATGTAGATTTGGGATGGATGTTGGCATAAGTCGGTTTTGTGTGTATCCGGCTGTTGCAGCCACCTAAGCGAAGCTGAGTAACACGCTCTCAGTATCCGGGTTTAATTGTGAGCTCCCTGGCCTCAATCATTTTGTTCGAATATAATAAAGTGCTTTTCAAAAAAAAAAAAAAAAAAAAAAAAGACCAGGTACGTTGTAATTGATGGTCATAGAGCACCGGCACTCTGCATCCTGCCAAAAAACCCCAAAAGCCACACTTTTAATCCAACACTGGTGTTATTATACACACTGGACAGAATTCACAGCACAGAGAGAGAGAGAGAGAGAGAGAGAGAGAGAGAGATTCTGCTGGGGCATGTGCTATCACGAAGGGCTGGGGTTATGTAGCACGGGTTGGGAGAGCGACAATAATGTGCATTATTTAAAAGGACAAAACGATAATGTGCATTATTTAAGCATTCAGGAGGACTTGGGTTCAATCCCCATTGGCCTCATGTACCTTCCTGGGCATGCTTGGCGCCCGCCACCTAGAGATAGCCCGTTGGTCCCCCCAATTGGCATTAAAAAAGCAGTCTCTGCTGATGTTCATAGGGGGAGGGGTACTCAGGGAGGCACAGCGACTGGCCACTCATATGATGCTCGGTCTCTCTGCTACCAGCTGTCCCCTGGCCGGTGCCCCCCAGTGGGGGATCCCTGAAGGCTATCAGGCCACCCTAAGGCTATCAGGCCACCCTGGGCTGAAAAGGCCACCGTTGTCAGATTAGACACAAGGTTGAATTTACCTGGGCTGGTTAGTCCGATGATAATACCTCAAGGCCATCGCCCTTCAAAAAAAAAAAAAAAAAAAAGCGCTTCACCATCAACGGCTTGTCAGAGAAACATTTATTTAAGGCAGAACATCTGTTCAAAGCTTTGATTGCCGACCAGATTCAGACAGATTGGAGAAGGAAGGCAGGACAGAGGAGGCACAGTCCACGGCTGGCTCCGGTTCAAGGAAACCTGGGCTGCCATCTTCGCCGAACACAACGCACCCTCAATATAACTGTATCCGGCCGCAGTTATAGCTTGTATACATTCAGCATGACGGTGTGTTGGTTGTGTCTGTCCACGGGTGGCTCTGGTTCAAAGAAACCTGGGCTACCGTCTTTCCCCGAACACAACGCACCTGGCCGCACTTATAGCTTGTATACAATCGCCATGAGGGTACGTTGTGTTCGGGGGAAGACCCTCAATATGACGTTATCCGGCCGCAGTTATAGCTTGTATACATTCAGCATGACGGTGTGTTTTGTTGTGTCTGTCCACAGGTGGCTCTGGTTCAAAGAAACCTGGGCTACCGTCTTTCCCCAAACACAACGCACCCTCATATTACTACTGTATCTGTATCTGGCCGCACTTATAGCTTATATACAATCACCACGAGGGTACGTTGTGTTCGGGGGAAGACGGTAAGGGCAACAAGCCCGTGTCGATCACAGCAGAGGGTAGGTTGCAGTTTACTACCTTCTTCTCCCGAATACAACGTACGGTATTTATAGCTGTATCTGGGGTATCTTTCAGTCTAAATACAGCTATAATGACCGTACGTTGTTGTATTCGGGGGAAGAACGTTGTTGTATTCGGGGGAAGAAGGTAGCTTGTTTAGCTACCGTCTTCCCCCGAACACAACGCACCCTCATTTTGGCTGTATCTGGCCGTCAATATCACTTGTATACATTCATTTTAAGGGTGTATTATGTTCGGGGGAAGACGGTAGATCGGGGTAGGCCTGTGTATTTGGGTAGTGGGATGAGAGAGTGCCTTGGTTTACAGACCAGGACACTCGGTCCTTTTGGCTGCAGGTGGCTAGCAGCAGACAGTGTCAGTGGGACCAGGAGCTAAACAGCTCCAGCCGGCCGTGCTACATAGGCGGGTTAAAATCAGACCGACAAAGTCTGAGTAGGATTTGAACACTTGATCTATAGGTAGAACTATAGCAGCCGGCTGGAGCTGTTGACCACTTTTATCTATAGGTAGAACTATAGGTAGAAGTATAGATAGAATACCTTTCTCGGCCTTTTGGCTAAGATCAAGTGTAGTATCTGTTCTGATCAGTTTAATATCTGATCCGTGGTCCATCGGACCACACTGAAAAAAAAAAAAAAAAAGGTATAGATAGAAGTACAGGAAATTGGATGAGAGGGAGTAGTAGCCGGTTGAGAGGGGGGGG